GTTGAGTTCACCTAGTACGCTTACTCTATATAGAACACTACATACCACTACTCATTTGAGGAGTTCACCTAGAACGCTTACTCTATATAGAACACTACATACCACTACTCATTTGTTGAGTTCACCTAGTACGCTTACTCTATATAGAACACTACATACCACTACTCATTTGAGGAGTTCACCTAGAACGCTTACTCTATATAGTATGTTTACCCTTTTTAGAACAACTTTTACCATTTCTCATTTGAGAAGTTCACATAGTATGCCACTGATCTGATGCCACTTCTCAATTGATGAGTTCATATAGTATGTTTACTCTTTCTAGAACATCTGACACCATTTCTCATTTAAGGAGTTCCTAAAGTTGCTTACTCTTTATAGAACACCTCGTACCACGTCTCATTTACTCTTTCTAGAACATCTGACACCATTTCTCATTTAAGGAGTTCCTAAAGTTTCTTACTCTTTATAGAACACCTCGTACCACGTCTCATTTAAGTGGATTTTGTTGTGATTGGTGATTATTATGATTAAACCTTGGTACTCTATTCATTCCGTTTATTTTGAGAGTTGGGTGGCCGAGTGGTTTAACGCATTCGCGTAAGATAACAATGTCTGTCATTGAGTCAACTGGCGTGGTTTCGAATCCCCGGTTGTACGTGACAAGGAGTAGGCTCGCCTGTCAAACCCGGTTGGGTTTCTCTGGGTCCTCTGGTTTCCTCCCACTGCTAAATAACCCTACGCGCAAACGAAATATTGAACCATGTTAGCCACGAAAAAGCATAGTTTGTGTCTTGTGGACGTTAAACCCGAATAAAATGGCATGGTTTCGATTCCCCGCTTGTACGTGACACAGAGTAGGCTCACCTGTCCTACCCGGTTTGGGTTCTCCTAGTCCTCTTGTTTCCTCCCACTGCTAAATACCCCTACGCGCAAACGAAATATTGAACCATGTTAGCCACGAAAAGGCATAGTTTGTGTCATGTGGACGTTAAACCCGATTTCTCCCTTTCACCCTTTATTAGGGTGTTAACCCCATTAACATCAGTGAAATGCAAACTGGAATAACGTCCTACCCTTCGGCACCAACCGGGATATTTCATAGTCTGTGTGATATTTATTTATTTATACATAAATATTCTTTGTGATTATATTTAGTTTATACATCATATGTCCGGCGCAATATAGCCCGGTTGGTGCTGACGTGGCATTGAAATCAACATTTCATTCATTCATTCCATCCAGCCTAATTTATTCTTCCATTGACACCTAAAGATATGCTTAATAATTTTATAAGTAGGATTGTGTTGGATGGAAATAGTTTTATAATTTGGATGACATTAAGTTCAGAAATAGAGTGGAAATAGTTTTGAGAATATTTTCAAATAACTTTTGGAATATACAATAGATATATTTAATGACAGTTTTACATGAATTTATTCCATTTTAAGAAATTCATTTCTTGTTACAGGTCCCTGTCCAAGTGACTATACATTCGTGAACGATGGTCGATTCTGTGTAAAGTTTTATAAGACACCACATAAGTGGACCGATGCCAGAGAAATATGTCGCGAAAATGGCGGACACCTGTTGATCTTAAATAAGGAATCAAAAAGAGAATTTGTAGAATCTAACTATAACCAAGGTGAAGAATGTAAGTACTGAGAAGTTTAGAGTTCTACTGATTCCCCCCCCCCCAAAAAAAAAAATCATATTTCTATTGTTTTGTTTATTATTGTGACTAAAGCCTGTATATTACAGACCAGGCAGGGGCGGATCCAGGATTTTCAGAAAGGGGTGGGGGTGCGTGCTGCCCCCACTTTGGAGTGCCGAGCCCGGCTCGTTTCGGAGTAAATTACGACTGGGATCACTACAATTTTTAAGTATTTTTGTTCTCCTTTCCCGCAAATTGTTCGCCATCGCAAATTGTATCCGCGCCTGCCAGGGGTGTACAGCGCAGTGGACGCTTAGGGCTGGCCACCCGATTATTCGCACGATTTGATATTTGTTTTTTATTGTTTGCAATGTCTGTTGTACGTGACAAGGAGTAGGGTCACCTGTCCAACCTCGTGGGTCTTCTCCGGGTCCTCCGGTTTCCTCCCACTGCTAAAGACCCCTACGCGCAAGCTAATTATTGAAATATAATTAAACCATGTGTTAGTCCTGAAATGACCTAGTTTGTGGGCGTTAATCCCCCTCTCTCTCTCTCTCAATCTCTCTCTCTCTCTCCAGACTAAATTGTCAATGCTATGCATTTTATGATATGACTTGCAATTCGGTGGTAATTGTCAATGTTTTCAGTTTATGTCGATTATGTTTATGATACGGCTTGCTGTGGAAATTATCAATTGTTTCTGTTTATGATATGGCCTGTGGTAATTGTCAATTGTTTCCCTTTAGATTTCTTATGGATAGGAGCGACAGATGAACACGATGAAGATGACTGGAGGTGGGCTGACGGCACAGACGTTAATAACTTCTGGCACCCCGGTGAGCCAAATGGGGACAGAGAGGAAAATTGTCTGGAAATGCGCAATACTCCCACTCACAGCAATCCATTTTACCACAAATTTAACGATCAACCGTGTGAAAGTGAAAACCATTTTGTTTGTGAAGTCCCCCAGAACATATTTGATGATAATTAATCGGCCCATGCCTTGTTGATTTAAAATGACATCACTTCTTTGATCTTAGTTTAGTACAAATGAAATAAGAGGAAAATTATTTTCTCATCGTTGCGGTTTTAGGTGATGCAAGAAATTAGCGGATGGAGCAAGACTCTCAAGATAGTTTTCATTTTGAATCAGAGGAACCTATTTTCTCAGAGTGTTTCCGAAATTTTTAAAGGTGGCTTATTGGTTTCGCGTCGTTTATGTGCGTGCATTGACACGTTGGTGTCACTTCAGGCGACACTGCGAGACAGTCAACACGTGTTTCGTTTTATTAGTTAACTTATTGAGCGATTTATTCTTTTGGTTTAAAGGGACAATAACACTCTGGCTGGCTTGACAGCTCCAGAAAATAAAAAAATAGACTTATTCTAAGTACTAGATGTGTTAGTGTCCGACCTGTTGTGTAAGTTATCCATTAAATCCTATTGTACTTGTCCAAAGGGTTCAAAAATATTTTTAAATCCAAGTCACATTTGAAAAGCTTTACGTCAGGCTTTTCAAATCATTTAGTTGAATTTTCCCATTTTTTTAAATTAGGTGTGTTAAGATGAAATTTGTATCATCAATTAATTGGAATATTGTAAAATAGTACAATTTGTTGACCAGAATAAAGGTCGGGACATATTATTCAGTTACAACAAGAGTGGTATTGAGCCTTTAATTATATTTTAATAACGATTGGTGTGTAGCTATCAGTGTATTTAATGTAATATCATTATGGTACGCGTATTATCTTGATTAAAATTCAGCTATTCGGTTGTGTTGCCAATATCTCAGCTGTTGGGATGTGTTGTCGATATCTCAGCTGTTCGGTAGTGTCGTCGATATCTCAACTGTTTAGTAGTGTCGCCGATATCTCAGCTGTTGGGAAGTGTTGCCAATATCTCAGCTGTTCGGTAGTGTCGTCGATATCTCAACTGTTTAGTAGTGTCGCCGATATCTCAGCTGTTTGGAAGTGTTGCCAATATCTCAGCTGTTCGGTAGCGTCGCCAATATCTCAGCTGTTAACAGGTGTTGTCGATATCTCAGCTGCTGGGAGGTGTCGCCTACATCTCAGCGTTGCCGATATCTCTGCTCTTCGGTAGTGTCGACGATATCTCAGCTATTGGGTAGTCTTGCTGATATCTCAGCTGTCTGGTAATGTTGTCGATATCTCAGCTGTTCGGTAGTGTTGCTGATATCTCAACTGTTCGGTAGTGTCGCCGATATCTCAAATTTATGTTTTAGTTAATTATGGTGATGAGGAAATATATTTGAAAGAAAGAAGAATAAATTAAGTTTTCCGCCATGTTGTTTTGTTTCGATAACACTGCATCTTTTGTTAAACCTCTCACAATTCCACATAAATTCAGTTGTCTAGACACACAGAAAACAATAAATGAAACTAAATTAAGTAAAAAACACCAACTTCGGTTTAGTCTTTCGACACGATATGAAATGGGGTTTACCGACCTACGCCATGTAGTGTGTTATTGGGGAAATTTTGCAATTATCGTGGCATTTCCGGATTCAAACTGCGAATGATTCATTTTAGGAGAGGTCCATAATACTTACGTCTGTCCAATAAGTGTATTCGAATGGTTAACGCGTGCGCGTTGCATCATAAGGTCTGTCATTGAGTCAAGTGGCGTAGTTTCGATTAGTCGTTTGTACGCGACCAGGAGTAAGGTAGGCTTTCCAGCTTCGTGGGTTTTCTCCGGGTCCTTCGGCTTCCCCCGACTCCTAAAGACTCCTACGCACAAGCGATTTCTTGAAATAAAATTGAATCATATGTTTGTCCCGAAATGACATAGTTTGTGTCAGGTAGACGTCACGCCCCCCCCCCCCTCTTCCGATCAACCAAATATGGTATTCATTTGCTTTTACTCGTCGCATTAAGTGTATTCTTTTATGGCACGATTGTGGTGTAAATTAAACCCTGGTATATCGATTTAATGTTCCAGTAAGCGTTGTCAGTTTAACGATTTTTCGCATCCCTTGTCTAAAAAGGGTCATTTGCGAATTTGAAAACAAAAATGGCGGTTTTATGTGAACTTGTTTCCATTGAAAAAATAATTTAATTCTAAGATAATAAAGACTATTTAAATATATTTTAAGTGTTTTGTAACATTACAAATCAATATTATCAGTTGCAATATCTAAAACTAAACAATAAAGGAATGTTATCTTTAGTTGCTACGCTGCTTTAAATGACCGAATGCTATTGAGATAACGGTTGGTGTATTCACGTTGTAATATAAATATAACACACTATCTAAACTATGTTTGATCATTGAAGATAACAGCGGGATTATCTTGGTGTGATTGTTAGTTTAATGCAGAACGTGGATTGAGTCACAACGGAGCAGTAGAAATATGAACCATGTAAGTTGGCTATATGCTAAATACTAATAGAGAGAGGGAAAGAGAGAGAGAGAGAGAGAGAGAGAGATAGGGTTTAACGTCCACTCCACACAAACTATGTCATTTCGGGACTAACACATGGTTCAATTTCATTTTAATCATTCGCTTGCGCGTAGAGGTCTTTGGCAGTGGGATGAAACCGGAGGACCCGGAGAAAACCCACAGGTTGGACAGGTGACCCTACTCCTTATCACGTACAACCGGGGATTCAAAACCCAGCCAGTTGAAAAATACTAATAGAAATAATACACAGGCTTTTTATTTTGTGACGTTCTCATTTCAGTTACATTCGGTATTTACTGGGGTGCCACGGTGGCTCAGTGAGTAAGACGTTGGCTGTCTAACCCGGAGGTCTTGTGTTTGATCGCTGCGTTGGCCCAGAAAATTCATCGAGATTTTCCGACATGGTTCCCCTTGTAGGACGGAGGCCTATAGTCGTTGGGACGAACATCCGAGGTCCTGTGTACACATTGGTGTGCACGTAAAGAACCACCGACAGCTGGAAATCGAAATAAGAGTAGGCCGTAGCGCCACTGCCTGGGCAAAATTTCCCTTATAGCACACTGTATGTCGGTGCAGAAAAGTATAACGTAAGATCCTGTTTCATTTCACTTCGTTATTTACTGCACCTGTCATACAGGCAATGTGAGTGGTTAAAGAATTATGGTGTTCATAAATAAATATTCAATGCTGATTGGACCCACTCACAAGTTGGTTTATATATAGGGGAGTTGGATGGCCGAATGGTTAGCACCCGCGCGCTGTATCATACGGCCTGTCATTGAGTCAACTAGCGGCGTTTCGATTCCCCGGTTGTACGTGACAAGGAGTAGGGTCGCCTGTCCAACCTCGTGGGTTTTCTCCGGGTCCTCCGGTTTCCTCCCACTGCTAAAGAATTATTGAAATAAAATTGAACTAAGCGTTAGTCCCGAAATGACCTAGTTTGTATCGAGTGTACGTTAAACCATACCTCTCTCTCTCCTTCTCTCTCTCTCTCGGTTTATATATAGGTCCTATTATAAACATTGTCCAATGGTTTTCAAATCGGTCATAATTCAACATAGTGGGAGATCACAACGATACCATCTTAATGGCAACCTATGTTTCTTTGCGTTTTGTCTATTTAGTAGTTATGTGTGTGTGTGTGGGGGGGGGGGGGTGTGGGGTAGGTGTGTGTGTGTGTGTGTGTGTGTGAGAGGGGGGGGGGTAACGCGTGCGGGATGCCTCAATTAGCGTGGTTATGATCCCCGCTCGTACGTGACAAAGTAGGGCCGCATGTCCAACCTCGTGGTTTTCTCTGGGTTCTCCGGTTTCCTCCCACTGCTAAAGGTCCCTACGCGCATGTGAATTAATGAAATAAAACTGAACCATATGTTGAGTTGAGTTTTTTTTAAATTTGTCCTTTTACATTGATTTTTTTTATTTTAATTCTTTTTCTTTAAAGTTGTTTAATTTATTTTGTTACAGATAATTAGAATTTTGCTGATTTTCGTGTGTCCATCTGTAATTTATTCTGTCCTCGTAACGACACCGTCGGGTAAAATAGAGGGAAGGATTGTACAGCATAATGGAACGGATGTTCTTCAGTTTCTCGGTGTTCCGTACGCCAGGCCACCAATAGGTGACTTGATGCTTGAAAAAACACAACCAGTTGAAACTTGGCAAAATACACTTAATGCGACGGCTTTCGGAGCGGCGTGCCATCAACGAATCGTCTCCTGGGACAAAGGAGTAGATAAAAGGAAAATGAGCCTCGACTGTCTCTTGTTGAATATTTTCGTGCCTAAAAAGATCACCACCAACTCTCCCAGGGCGGTAATGTTATTTATTCACGGCGGAAGTTACATGCACGGCACCGGGAATAGTTTCGACGGATCTCTTCTGGCTATTACTGGTGACGTTATTATAGTCTCGATTAACTATCGACTCGATGTATTTGGGTTTATGTCAACCGGAGATGACGTCATACCGGGTAATTACGGGTTATGGGATCAACGTCAAGCCATTTTGTGGGTAAAAGCAAATATCGCATCATTTGGTGGAGATGGGTCTAAGATAACAATATTTGGTGAAAGTGCCGGATCCTACAGTATAGGCATGCACATGATTTCACCACACAACGCGGGGTTATTTCAGCGCGTTATAAGTGAAAGTGGTATAGCCGTGTCACCTATAGGATTAACGTACGATGCCTTGAGTTACGCGAAATCGGTCAGCAATAGTTTGAATTGCACAAACGCAACGGTTGGATGGAATCCTAGTTTTTTCAAGAATTGTTTTAAAAATAGAACAATCAGTGATGTTTTACATGCTTCGTTAAATGCTGCAAACTTTGGTTTCTTGGTGTACAGAAGGGTTATTGGCCCCGTGGTTGATGGAGATTTTCTTGTAGGAACCCCATTACAGTCCCTTGACAGGGACGATGTCCCATTTAAAAATGTTGATTTAATGGTAGGAACTAACAGCGCTGAAGGGGACTACTCTTGAGACCTTTGATGGCGTATGAGAAAGAGTACAATTTTCATTTAGCCAACGGAATTCCAAGAAACATTTTTCGAGATCACATCGCCACGGCCATAGTTCGAGATTATTATTTCGGTTGGAAATGGGCTTTGGATAAAATTATGGAAGTGTATTCCACTGTTGGAATCTCTGATATCGACCAAGCTCGGCAAGCTGTGGATATGTATGGTGATTTTATACTACAGGCCCCTTCCGTTGAAACACTACAATACCATTCCAACATGACCACCTCGAAAAACACCTTTGAATATTATTTCACACACGTTGCAGAACATCGGGAGATGTATGCTTGGTTCCAGGGAGCAAATCACGGTGATGAACTAACATTTGTTTTTGGTCCAACTCTAAGCTATAAAAATGTGTCAACGTCAGAAATTCAGTTTTCTGAATACGTAAGAAGATATTGGACTAACTTTGCTAAATATGGGTAAGAATATTAAATTAAAGATACATTGTGTAAGATTTAGATAAAGAACTAGCCATTCTTGCTATAATAGTTCGAAAATAGATTATTTGAAATGAATAATTTGAAAATTTCATTCAAATTACTCCATTAGCCTTTGAAGGTTTGACAAGACGTGTGCAATAATTTCAACCATCTCGCGTCTCCATTTTTAGCTTAAATCAAAATATGGCTGAACTGTTCTAATATCGGAGAAATCCGACGCCATCGAGAGTTGATTATGGCCTGGATAAGTTAATTAATGTCTAATTAATAATTTAGATAACATTTCAGGCCTAAAGAAAGACTGTAATAGGCCGATTTAGCTCTTGCATAATGTATGTTTAAAGCCGCTCGCCGTTATTTTAGTGATTTTAATCCTCTTGCAACCTGCAACATTTTGAAAGTTAAGTGGTGTAATTCCGTTCCGTATTCACAAACTCATATGATGAATTGAACATTTTTCAACATTCGACACCCTCTGTACACGAAGTTAACGGCATTTTTAATCTTCGGTAAAATCGTTTGAGGGACTATTTTTAATCCAATTGAATCCAAACCGGGATAAAAAAATTTCCGTTGGATTCAATCGGATTAAAAAGAGACCATCCAGGAATAAAAATGGCGCTCCTTGTTTTCACAGTATTCCGGGCTATTTAACACCGATATGCTGTAGGGACATTTTACCCGGACAGTGGCATAACGGCCTATTCTTATTTCCAATTGCAAATGTCAATGGTTCTATTACGCATACGTCAACGTCTATTTTGTACCTCGGTTTTTCGTCCCACCGGAACGGTTAGACACTGCCCCATGACAGGCACTCCGCTATGCACAACTGACAAGGGGAGACAACCCTGGACAATCCGGGGTAATTTCTCGGCGGAAAAGCTACTGGCCAGATATAATTTTCTCCTGCATTAATCAGTCTAACATAAATCACATTTTGTTGATTTTAAACGTTTTTCATGTCCTTTCCTGCAGGCTTGTTTTGTTCTGAAGCAGCTAACATTAATCAGTCTAAAAACGAAATCACATATTGTTGACCTTAAACGTTTTTCCTGTCATTTCCCGTGCAGGCTTGTCACAGTTTGTTCTGAAGCAGCTGCAATCCGTCCCCTGTTGAATTGTTTGTTATGAAGCAGCGGAAATCACCTCTGAACTGTTATCAACGTTTTTTGTGGTTTTATTTTATTGTAGGACCCCAAGCCTTTTCATTCATGCATTAACCGTTTACGTTAATTTCAGGAATCCAAACGGTGAAAGTGGAAACAATTGGCCGAGCTTTAACACAACAACCAGACACTACATGGATTTAAACATACAACCAACTTCTGGTCAACATCTGTTGAAAGACAGAGTTAATCTCTGGATGAATGAACTACCATATTTCGCTGATCCGTTTTCATCATCTCCAACAACAACTTGTAGCACCATGTTCACCATCGTGGTTGTTGGTGCGACGTTTTTATTGACATTGTGAATACAAGTACATGCATCTCTGCACGAAGTGAAACTTTTTATGAATATGCGACTATCTTTATTAGGTTGGTTAATGCAGCATAATAGGCAGTTATAAACTCTAATTCATTTAATAAACTAAGATTCTTATGATTAAAGATACATTATGGGAGGGTGGCTAGGTGGGTAAGACGCTGGCTCGCTAGTCTGGAGGTTGGATGTTCGATCCCTGCATTGGCCGAGAAAGTTCATCGGGGTTTTCCGTTGTGGTTTCCCCTTGTCAGTGGTGCAGAACGGAGGGCCTGACAAGGACAGCTGTCTAGTCCTTCGGATGATACGAAAAACCGAGGTCCCTTGTATACATTGAAATGCACGTAAAAGATCCCTTGGCAGTTGGAATTCGATATAAGAGTAGGCGATAGTGCCGCTGCCCGGGCAAAATTTCCCTCATAGCACACTGTATGGCGTATGCCCGTCTTCATTAGCCCAGTATAGGAGCAGAACAGTAGTTTGTTAAACCCTATTTCATTTCATTTCATTTACATTATGGGAGATTAGATAAAGAGCTGACAGTTCTTGCTATAACGGTTAAAAACCAGATAATGTTAAAGGGATTTGCTGAAAATTTCAGTCAAATTGATCAACTCTGAACAGAGAATTTAGCGATTGAATTTTGGACGTAGCCTCGATCATCATTACTAAAGTCGGTACGCTAAAAAAAAAATATATTCTCGATTCTCCATTTCATGATTAAATTATGAATGAAGGTTGAGCAGCAAATCGGATCCTAATCCAGTAAATATCCCAGGCTAGCGATGACATCAAGAGTTGATTATGGTGTGGATAAGTTAATTAATGTCTAATTAAATAATTTAGATAACATTTCAGGCCTAAAGAAACACATGAAATGGGCAGATTTAGCTCTTGCATAATATATGTTTAAATAAACACCATAAAGAGACTATTATGATCTGGGGGGGGGGCCGAATGGTTAGCACGTGCGCGCTGTATCATAAGGTCTGTCATTGAGTCAACTAGCGGGGTTTTGATTCCCCGGTTGTATGTGACAAGGAGTAGGGTCGCCAGTCCAACCTCGGGGGCTTTCTCCGTGTCCTCCGGTTTCCTCCCACTGCTAAAGACCCCTACGCGCATGCGAATTTTTGAAATACAAATGAACCGTGTGTTAGTCCCGAAATGACCTAGTTTGTGTCGAGTGGACGTTCAACCCCATCTCTCTCTCTCTCTCTCTCTCTCTCTCTCTCTTGTGATCTAAACAAAGTCTTGTTGTAATATTAAAACTTATCTATAGGTCAAAATTGTGGGGCCTCGAGATGCCCTCGTGCACTTAAACAAATGCATTTTAACTAAACTAAAGGGAGTCCTCTCCTGGAAATATAGGTTTTACATCCACCATGAATTATAGTTACCGGTGCCTTCTCTTTACGGTGCCAAATGAGGATACATGCTAGATTTTGTTGAAGTCTATCAATCAGTTTCGGAGAAATCGATATAATAATTTGTCACGTACTAACTTAGTGTTGTGACCACTTTGTTTGCAATTTGTCTGCGATAGCGGGAGGCAACTGCTGGTTTATACCACAGGGTTTACCTTTTAACTTATAAATCTTCCGAACTCTCTCATCTCTATTGGATCAGGCAGCACCATTTGAACAATCCTGCAAAAGCACCTCCTAGTTTACATACGTACCATTTCTTTCAAGTCCGGTGGTAAACGATTACGCCCGGTGGACGGATGACATGCAGAAGTATGTATTGTTTAATGGTCAAGAACGAGACATTAAGTAATATACTGTAACAACAAGAGGGTCGTAGGCCAGAGTGTTTTTACAATATATTACGCAATGTCTTAGGCTCGAGATCATTAAACGACTTAAAATACAGACACTCCGCACGTGATTTTACAGTGAAATACGACACGCGAGTCCAATATTTCACTAGTATAAATAATGTACGATTGACAAGTTGCCCGTACATCAAAGGGTGGCGTCACATCTGTATTTTAATACAGTATAATGAATGCACTGTGAAGCCAGTAATGTAGGCTTATGAACCAAGGCCTTATACAAATGAATATTTTTGCCATTCAATTGTGTGAGAGAGAGAAATGGGGTTTAACGTCCACTCTACACAAACTAGGTCATTTCGGGACTAACATATGGTTTAATTTTATTTCAATAATTCGCTTGCGCGTAGGGGTCTTTAGCAGTGGGAGGAAACCGGAGGACCCGGAGAAAACCCACGAGGTTGGACAGGCTACCCTACTCCTTGTCACGTACAATCGGGGATTCGAAACCACGCCAGTTGACTCAATGACAGGCTTGAAAGGCTTTATGATACAGTGCGCATGTGCTAACCATTCGGCAACCCCCCCCCCCCGCCATTCAATTGTACAAGCCATGATGAATGTATAATAATATTTAAATCGTGGTTAAAGGTTTAAGATTATCAGGTGGGAAAACGAGCTGAAAGTATGACTGTTTGTAATCTCCATCCGCCAACACAAATCACGCTGCAATATAACATCAATACCGCTCTATCCTCACTTCATTTCTAAGGCTATCGTGAATTCCAGAGGTGGGGGTAGATCCGTAGTTTCATTAATTACATATTGCAGCTTAATAAGTACGGACAGGAACAATCCATTTTTAAATCTGCCTTTGGTCTAGCATCTACACAGATCCTCATGTCCAGCATTAGCTACTCTTTTAGGGGAGTGTTGCCATTCAACCTTTCGTATTTGTATGTAAAGTAAATCGACTACTTGTCGATCTGATAAGATACAGATCTACATTTTGTCTAGTTTTTTTTTGTACTTTCAATGGCCTACACTACATGAAGATCTAACCGGTGGTTTACCCACAGTTCCATGCATCGCACGCCAAGAAGTCCCCGTAACAGACCGTTTCATTGGCTAATCTCTAACTTCAACCAGAACGCCGGTAATATAACAACTCTTCAAGATCCTAGTGTAGTTAAGACAAGTAAAACGAAATTTTGAACTTTAAATAACGAAACGAAATAGGGTCTCTGTTTTAATCATATTGGTTAATCGCTGGTGTTTAAAGGGCGCATAGGAAACTAAAATAGGCAAAAATGGGTCTGAAAAGCACACACTAATGTAATATGAGTGTATATAAAGTGATTTACATTCGAGTTCATAAAACATTTATTTTTTTAATTTCTAATCAATTATGCTCGGTGAAATAGGTGAACTAAATTGCTTAGTCCATTTTACAGTTTTTTTTAATTATTCTGTCGTTTGATAATCAGTCATATTTACTCCAGCGTTGTCTTGTGAAATATGTGCTTTCCTTTGTTCATTACAAATGCCACCGAAAATATTTTTGTCCATAAAGTATACGACGTCGTATACTCAGTGACGGATCATCAGGTCGCCGGGCCCCAGTGACAAGTTAACTCCCGGGATGAGGGGATCCGGGGATCCTACCCAGAGAAATGTTTTGAAATTTAGACATGCAATGGTGGTCTGTGGAGTATATCCCGAGCGGGAAGTTATATACTTAGTTCTAAGCATTTAGTGTCGATCTAGATTTGTAATCTGAATGAAGTTGTTGCATATCATATTTTCGAATAGTGCAGAATTTGTTTCTTCAGAACTATACTCGGAGAATTGATTCAAGATTCTTTTCTCTAACGGTTATTAAAATCGGACAACATTTGTTTGCAAAAAGAATTAATACCCAATAATTTCAAAACCCATCGAAAAAAGGGAACGATTTTGGGGAAATCGGTCTCCATTGTTGTTTTCTACAATATATAAAAAAAAATATATATATATTTTTGTTAACAAATCGCTTCGTTGCTCTCGCCATGATCTGTCCCTTCGTATACTGATTATAAATGTTGTTTGGATATTAGGATCCCATAATGTCACGGTAAGGTAACAACATTAATATTGATTGAAATAGACAAATATTAAATTTCCATTTGTGTTTTTAATTTTAAATATTATGGTTACTATTGACTAAGCGGTTCAGACTAGAAAGAAATGAAATGAAATGAAATGAAGTTTTAACGTCCTACTGTTCTGCGCCGACTGGGCTAATGGAGATAGACATGCGCAATACAAGAGTGCCGTGAGGGCAATTTCAAAGTAATTACGCCGTACTCTTATATCGAATTCCATTTGTCAAGGTTTGTACATGCCATTGTGAAAACGGGACCTAGGTTTTTCAGACTATTCGAACGACTATACGTTGTCCGCTACCGGGATTTCCTGCACCACACTGACAAAGGGGAACCACGTCGGAAGATCCCGATAAACACAGGTCGAACACGTGACCTCCAGCTTATCGAGTCAACATCCATGTTGACATAATGCAATCTCATCGAAGTAAAGTATTCATATATTTTGTGTATTTTCTTTTGCAAGAGATGTGAATGAATATCTGCAGATAAGTGTTACGTTTTTAATTAATATGCAAATTAATAACCCAAATATTGTTATAGAAACCTTTTATTGGTGGTTTTCCTGAAAGTAAGCACATTGCAATACAACAACTTGTAAAATGTATAGTTTAGAAATATATGCATTAATCCGAATATAAAAAAAAATGTCGCTCTACTTGGCTATATGAGAATAGGTAACTCTGTCAAATCAAATTCCAGTGGTAAAATTCCCTTACAAAAGTTGCGTTCAATATAAATGCAGTCAGGGTGAAATGAAATGAAATTATAAATATATATCTATTTTTTAAACATCTAGTATTGGAGATAGGATGCTTAACGTCCGTTGAGCAGAGACATCACTAAAAGAACCAAGGTGGTTGCCATGGTATTATAATGAATAGTTGAAGAGGATGAAGTTGGTTTTAATAACGATGGTATTTCATCCAACCAGAGATTAACTCTGTCTTTTAACAGATGTTGACCGGTAGTTGGTTGTATGTTTAAATCCATGTAGTGTCTGGTTGTTGTGTTAAAGCTCGGCCATTTGGTTCCACTTTCACCGTTTGGATTCCTGAAATTAATGAGAGAGAAATGGGGTTTAACGTCCATTCGACACAAACTAGGTCATATCCGGACTAACACATGGTTCAGTTTTATTTCAATCATTCGCCTTCGCGTACGGGTCTTTAGCAGTGGGAGGAAACCGGAGGACCCAGAGAAAACCCACGAGGTTGGACAGGCGACCCTACTTCTTGTCACGTACAACCGGGGAATCGAGGCCCGCCAGTTGACTCAATGACAGACCGTATGATACAGGTCGCGCGTGCTAACCATTCGGCCTTCCAACCCCCCTCTGAAATTAATGAAAAAGTGAATGAGTGAATGGAATGGGGTTTAACGTCCTATATTTCTGCACCAACCGGGATAATGAAGATAGGAATATGCCATACAGTCAATCTGGTTAAAACACAGATCCTATTTCGTTTCGTTTTTATAGTTCAAAATTTCGTTTTACTTGTCTTTACTACACTTGGATCTGGAAGAGTTGTTATTTAACCCGTGTTCTGAATGGTGTCAGGGATAAGCCAATGAAACGGTCTGTTACGGTGAGCTTTAGGCGTGTTTTTCACGGAACTGTGGGTAATCCACTAGTAACATCAATGCTGATTGGTTAATCAAATGTCTGACGTCATAGGGTCATAAGTCGGTCTTTTGACTTCTGACGTGACCTATCGCTGTAACTTGTCAAATCTTCATATAGTGTAGGTCATCGAAAGTATAAAAAAACGAAACGAAATATAGATTTGTGTTTTAATCAGATTGCCGTACAGTGTGCTACTACTTTTATAACGAATTACAACTGCCAAGGTTAGTTATTATATAAAGAATCTCCTACTCGTCTTTTTTGATATCAAAAAATATCAACACAAGTTGATAAAGTAACAAAAAACGAGGTTCTGCCGATATCAAAAAAGACGAGTAGGAGATTTTATTTATCACGCAATCCCTTCTTACATGCACAAATAGATAAATATAGTTCTTTGCTGTAGATTTCACTTTTATTGAACATTACGGCGTAGTGATACATCATTTTTTGCCAGCAATTCAACCATTGCAAAGTCCTTCATATTGACCCAGTGTTTCCATCAAGGTCAATTGAATAACAATAGTTCATTTTTAATAAAAAAAAAGTTACTTTTAATAAGGAATGAACTGTTCTTTGAAAATAAAAAAGTAGATTATGAAATATATCACACAATACTGTAGAATGTATTATTGGGTGATAAATTTGTATTGTAGGAAACGGAATAAATAATAAAAGTCTTACCCATATTTAGCAAAGTTCGTCCAGTATCTTTGTATAACTTCAGAGACTTTGATTTCTGTCGTTGATATATTGACGGAAGTTAAAGTGGGGCCAAAAACAAAGGATAGCTCATCAGCGTGATTTGCTCCCTGGAACCAGGCAGGCAGGTTCTGGTTTTCTGGAACATGGGTAAAATAATATTCATACGTCTTCCTAGACGTCGCCATCTTAGAATGATATTGCAAAATTTCAATTGATGGGGCTTGTAGTATAAAATCGCCGTACATGTCCACAGCTTTCCGAGCTTGAGTTTCGTCAGATATTCCGTCCTCCGAGTATACTTCCATTAGTTTGTCCAACACGTTCTTCTCATTCTTGAAATAATCACGAACGACAGCTGTGGCGATGTGGTCGCGAAATATGTTTCTAGGAATTCCATTATCTATGCTAAAATTGTATTGTTGCTGGTATTGTTTTAAAGGTCCTATAATCAAACCACCCTCGGCACTGTTAGTACCCACCATTAGGTCCACATTTCTAAAAGGTACATCATTTCTGGCAAGGGAGATAACCGGGTTTGCAACAATAAAATCGCTATCCACAACGGGTGCAATAACTCTTCTGTACGCCAACATCCCAGCATCCCCCGCTTGTAGCGATGCTTCTAGGACATCCGTAATGTTTCTAGTTTTCAAGCAGTTCTTGAAGTAACCGGTGTTCCACCCACCCGTGACGTTCGTACAGTTCAAACTGTCACTAACCGACCTTGCATAACTAATGGCGTCAAAGGTCAACGCTATAGGCGATACGGCTATACCACTCTCACTTATAACGCGCTGAAATAACCCCACGTTATGTGGTGAAATCATATGCATGCCTATACTGTAGGATCCGGCACTTTCACCAAATATTGTTATCTTAGACCCATCTCCGCCAAATGATGCGATATTTGCTTTTACCCACAAAATGGCTTGACGTTGATCCCATAACCCGTAATTACCAGGTATGACGCCATCTCCGGTCGACATAAACCCATACACATCGAGTCGATAGTTTATCGAGACAACTATGACGTCACCAGTAATAGCCAGAAGAGATCCGTCCCAAGCATTTGCGGTGCCGTGCATAAAACTTCCACCATGGATGAAAATCATAACCGCTCGTGAATGGCTCGTGGTGATATTTTTGGGCACAAAGATGTTCAGCAAAAGGCAATCGTGACTCATTTTTCTGTTGTGTGGTCCCTCCGTATCGTAGGAGGCGATTCGTTGATGACATGCCGCCCCAAAAGCCGTCGCATTAAGAGTATTTTGCCATGGTTCAACTGGTTGTGTTTTTTCAAGCATCAAGTCACCTATTGGAGGTCTGGCGTACGGAACTCCGAGAAACTGAAGAACATCCGTTCCATTATGCTGTATAATTTTTCCCTCAATTTTACCCGATGGTGACGTAACGATGACAGAATAAATTAGAGATGGACACACGAAAAGCACTAAACATGTTATTATCTGTAACAAAAAAATTAAATATCTTTAAAGAAACGATGGGGGGTTGGATGGCTGAATGGTTAGCGTGCGCGCGCTGTATCATAATGTCTGTCATTTAGTCGACTGGCGTGGTTTCGAATCCCCGGTTGTACGTGACAAGGAGTAGGGTCGCCTGTCCAACCTCGTGGGTTTTCTCCGGTTTCCTCCCACTGCTAAAGACCCCTACGCGCAAGCGAAATATTGAAATAAAATTAAACCATATGTTAGTCCCGAAATGACCTAGTTTGTGTCGAGTGGACGTTAAACCCCATTGCTCTCTCTCTTAAAGAAACGAAATGGTCAATACAAAAGAAATACAATGAAATGGGGTTTAACGTCCTACCGTTCTGTTCCGACTGGGCTAATTCAGTGTGCTATGAGGGGAAATTTTGCCCGGACAGCGGCGCTATTGCCTACTTTTATATCGAATTTCAACTGCCAAGCGATGTTTTACATCCACGCCAATGAGCATGTGAGATCTAAGTTTTTGGTTCCATCCGAACGACTAGACATCTGTCCTTGTGATGCCTTCTGCCCTACACCACTGACAAGGGAAACCCACGCCGGTAAAACCCGATTAACTTTCTCGGCCACAACTGGGATAAAACCCGCGACTGGGATAGAACCAATGATTCAGCGTTTTACTCACATAGCCACCGTGGCTCTCACTTTAATAAATCGTAAAACAACATTTTATGTTCCATATATAATACTACATAATAATATATCCTTCGGTACACAAATAAACATTATAAAGGAGAGCTTCGTATTATTGTGTTGTTAACCGGCTTACAATAAGCAGGGACGCGTGACGGGATATCCTCTCGCTGTCTCAACAGACACTTTATAAACAAATGGCTACTGCGCATTTCGTCAGGCTTATAAACCTGTAGCGATAAATCTCTTTGATCTTTGGCGTATATTCTATGCCCTGAATAATTTGAGGTTTGAATGTCGGGGGCGACTTTGGATATATACAGGGGAATTTGGGGTTATTCTTCTGAAAGTTTTTCTTTAAACCTGTAACAGGTGATTCTTTTAGGGTAGGCTTGTTTCCGTAAGAAAACATGATCTAAGGTTTTTCTTATAGGAATCCTATGATATTCTCATTTTGCGTACATGTAAACATAGACGGTTTTATAAGCAAGATAAAGTCCTTGACTTCGGTTATGCTGGGGAAGAAAGACTTCAGAATAAACCCTCTTTCCCCAGCATAACTTCAATCTCCTGCGTTATCCTGCACGTAAAGTAAGCGGGTCGTGTGTTGTTAATGGGTTTATTTGCGGGACTGGGCTGGGCTATGGTGGGGCGAGGCACTACACAACGGACAGCCGACTTTTAAATTCAACCGCACGCACCTGCCGTCAGAACATACATTAATAGTTAATATAAGTATGAATTGTATGCCCCAATGACTCATACACACGGTCCTATATACGAGCTCTCTAATACGTCCTACTGTAGATAATGGCAGGGCAGGGACAACGACTTATAAAAGGGGGTGTCTACATTCAAAAACAACAGCTTGGTTGTGAAAGTGCATTTTGCCGGTGAGCATCACCATTTATAATTTTAAGGGAAAATATTGTCAATTATTAATATTTTTAATATAATACAACTCACGTGATTCATCTTTATACCCTTTGGCCTGTCCTATGCACCAGTGAAACACAAACGGTAAACCCAACTTAACACAGGATGTTATATCTCTTTCATATACGACCGCTTTACAAATATTGAATAGAATATCATACAATATCTCTAATTTTAGATATATTGCGTCCATCCAATACAAACGGGACCTACAGTAACCAATGAAGTTTTGCGAATATTTTCACCCCTCCCCGTAAGATAAAACTGAATATTTGTTATTAGGCTCAAGGCATCAATTAAGTAAAATTGTTGTAATTGGTAATTGTGATATATTTCCATCTTGTTCTGCTCGTAATAGTTTTATGCTTATGGGAGCTCAAGTAAATTGTACTATTTTAATATCAGAAAGGTAGGTAAAATACGTAAATTTGTAACTGCAGAGGCCACTAAGTCACTTGTTAATTCTCTGGACACTTCTCGATTAGATAACTTTAATTCACTTTTAGTTGGTTTACCCTTAAGCCTATAGATACACTACAAAAAGTACAGAATACAGTAGCTAGACTTTAACTAAGAAATGCGACCACATAACTCCTGTTGTATATACTTTACACTGGTTGCCTGTTAAATATCGATTTTATTACTTTACTTTTAAATAATTTAGCCCCTGTTTACCTCTCAGATATTTTAGAACTTTATACACCTGGCCGAACATTACGTATATCAGATGAACTATTTTTAAAGCCCAAAACTGTTCAACTAGTCTTTTATGGTCTGCACTCTTTTAGTTATCAAGCACCTGTTTTATGGAATAATCTACCATTTAGTTTAAGATGTTGTACATCTCTATATTCTTTTTAACAAAAATAACTTAAAACACTTTTATTTAATCAGGCTTTTAAGTGACTCTGTATTCAACCGTTAGCATGTCCATAATCTTGTTGTTTATTTATGATTATATTGTCACTTTGTAAAGTGTCCCTGAACATGTTATTTGAATATGCTGTAATAATAAATAATAATAATAATAATAAAATCGGTAGATTGGTTAGCGCACAAAAGATCAGGTCGTAAGAAAACCCGAACTCTAATCCTTGTACTTGTAAAATGTCCCGCATGGCGTATCCTTGGTGATGCTCGATTCACAGTCCGGAACGTCCCGAATTGATAGAATTACAATCAAGCGACGCGGAATTCGGTCCTGTCACAGTTCTGTCAGTTCCGACGACGGAGGTGGTGTGAGTAGAATTGTTACGTAATTAAACACGACGAACAGGTTTCGGCTGCATGGTTGGATGAGATATTTATATATCCAGTCGACGCATGCCCGAAGTACCCATTTTCACTCGATTGTCACTATTTTTGGGATTGAGAGAATTCAATTCCGGAACTTCAATCGAGTACGCCCTGAGTCTTCTTTAGTCTGTCTCTCTAGTTTAATCGACAAAACATTGTGCAAAACAAAGGTACACGACAAAATTTATGAAAGCTTGCAATCGGCGTCTCCTTTAAAAGGTTCAAGGGAGAGTACTCTGATGTTACATTGATTACCAAGTATCGGCTAGCAAGTGGGCTAGATTGGTCAATTTATAACAAAAAGGGGATCAAACCCCTAAAAAAAAACCAGCAAGAAAGGAAATTTGGTGGTTTATGGAATTGTTGGGTATGCTGAATTACATTCTAAATGTCTACCAAACTGGGAATGTCCCGCATTTTGAAGGCAATTGTCAGGTCTTTTAAAACACCAGTCAATTTATGAAAAAAAAGAGGCCAACAATCCCCATACAATTGCAAGTAAATGTTTTTTGACGGTGTCTGGTAACTTTGGTTGTACTGTATGACATGGTAATACCGGAAAGTCCCAAATTTGGAGGAAAAATGCTACGTTTATTAACGTAAAACTTCAGACAAACATTAAGTCGTCAATTTCTAATAGAAACAAATGAAACCGACACCTTTCCTCGAGTTGTCGGAAACAACCTTTCACGTGAAATAGTTTTCATACTTGTCCGATGCTCCCTTGCGCCATTTTCGGGGGTACCCCTACTCTAAACACATACGGCCGAGAACCGACATATTTGAATGAGTATAAAATAGCAAATCATTCTGTCATTTGTAGATACACCCAATGGTGACAAATGGTCACTTGCACCATTTTCAGGTGTACTGTTATATTCTACTATATGCATAAGACCCTCAACTCCTACTCATATCGTTATTAGAATCAGAGTGTCTGGTTAATCTAGTCTATGTTTACTTCCGTGACGAGAGCGGGAAAAGAATGGCCACCGCATGTAGCTTAGTTGTGGCTAAGTGGATAAATGTTATCAACTTTAAGTCTACCCCACAACCTGCGATCGAAAACCTAAATTTACGAATAGGCATAGCTCTGTGCCGCTTCGTCATAATATAGTAAATTTGGTATCTGAACTAATGTTTTTGGGGATCAATATTTCATTTGAAGATATGGTCAGGGGTGTTAACTGGTCTTTACGGGGTATTTCATCACATATATTTTGTATGTAGGCCTATGTGTCTTTTTTTTTTTGTTGGAAGGGGGGGATACCCCTATCCCATAACTTGCTTTCGTGGAAAATGGCTGAAGCGAGACAAGCAAATAGTGTAGCACTATGCAGTGCTATGCGTCGCTAGTTAGATGTGGAAAGTACACGGAAAAACTCCCCACGGCCGACATGTGACGCATACCCGCTTCTGAAACGTATGTAACACTATTTTAGTGAAATGAAATGAAATGGGGTTTAACGTCCTACTGTTCTGCTCCTAACCTGGGCTAATGAAGACGGGCATACGCCATACAGTGTGCTATGAGAGAAATTTTGCCCGGGCAGCGGCACTATCGCCTACTCTTATATCGAATTCCAACTGACAAGGGATCTTTTACGTGCATTCCAATGTATACACGGGACCTCGGTTTTTCGTCTCATCCGAATGACTAGACAGCTGTCCTTGTCAGGCCCTCCGTCCTGCATCACTGACAAGGGGAAACCACGCCGGAAAATCTGGATGAACTTTCTGGATGAACTTTCTCGGCCAATGCAGGGATCGAACACCCGACCTCCAGGCTAGCGAGCCAGCGCCTTACCCACTTAGCCACGTGATCCCCACACTATTTTAGTGGTAACAGAGATCAGTTTAGTAGATATAGGGTTTATTTACATCGGAACAGAATATAACACATCAACATACAAACCAATACAGGAACTAGACTACGACAGGAACACATATAACAATATTAAATCCATCATTCCGCCCCTCTGCCAAGGCAGCGGCTGAACTCGGGCGAGTACATACGCCGGTCTTTCGTCTGCGCCTCTGCTCTGCTACGGTCGTCTGCCTGTCAGCAAACTCCAGTTTATATAGCGTACGATAATTAGAGAAAATGGTTAAGAGTGATCATCATATAGAGTATTGTTTATTTATCAGATTATGGTATCTGCAACTGCACTGCGTATTTCCTTTGAAGTCATTAACGGGTCATGGTATGACGCACTGACCATTAGTACATTCCCTTTGAAGTCCTGCCGAGTGTTGCACACAGATCATGTGCAGCTCGTAAATGACATATTGAATTAATTACATGTTTAATTACAACACAGACAATCGTGACTTAAGAAAAGTGCATACAGAGCTGAAAGGTCAATATCATATATATTATCAAAACAGCTGGGGGTTCAATTTGATAAAAGTTACAGAGTACTTTGTTACACGTATTTGAATAGCCTGGCTAGGACTCACGTTGTGTATATATTTTTTATCTCAGCCGTTATCTACTAGGAATAACAATGCAACAGTTCGTTTCTGCATTTTATGTCAAGCACTGGATACATAGGTTATAGGTATAGATTACAATAAAGTAAAGAAAGAGTCTGCTGATAGAGAGGGAGAAATGGGATTTAACGTCCACTCGACACAATCTGTTTATGTGTCAACCGATCACTCATTCAATTTAATTGCGTGAGATATGACTTCTCTATAATTTGAAACCAATAATTAGTCAAAGCCATAGTTATTATAATGCTAGTAATTTAAAGAGCAAAAACAAAATTAAAATTTTACCACCCTTAATTCGATAGATGTGTAAGGAATCATTTACCAATTTTCTCTACATAGAATGCAGCGTTCTGTCATCTAACTGATTTCCGAGATACATGGGACTGTTTTTGATTAATTGAGGCACTTTTCCTAAAATAAGCGCCAATATCAGTTTTTCTAAGCTATACAAAGTTATAATTTACATTCGATATTGTCCGATGTACTGTTTTACATTCGTAGAACCCATAGAAAAGGCCAAAGTTCAATCTTGTGGCTGCTGCTTTATGTGAAGAATTTCCCGTGCCCCAAAATTGGTAAAGCTTTGAGATGTTATAAGTTAATCTGTGCGCATGTAAGTTATCCATTCAGCAAATGCGCAAGCCCGAGTTTGACTTCCGAGGCGACAAGTCGCCGCACGACAAGTCGAAATAATTGTATTTCGTCGACTTGTCACCTTGTGAATAAGTCGAAGGCGACAAGTCGACAAGTCGACAAAATCAACCCGCCGACACGACAAAATAACCAGACGATCGTCGCCTTCATTTCGTCGACTTGTCGGGTCAATTCTGTCGACTTGTCGACTTGTCGACTTCTTCACAAGGCGACGATTTAGATTCATTTGAATGGCCGCTAACAGCCACCATAATTTTGTATGGGTGAAATCATAAATCTAGCTAGCTAATTTGTATACATGCAAGGTTAACTTGCAATGCATCATCTCGGGTTCTTACAACAGTACAATAACATCTGATAATGTTTCATACTTTGTATGATATTGTTATTGATCAGAGAGAGAGAGAGAGAGAGAGAGAGAGATTTGATTATTTACTTAGATGAACTTCGAAATCATTTCTTTGTCCATTAGTAAGAGATTTGATAATTTACTCCGATGAGCTTCGAAATCGTTTCTTTGTCCATTAATTGTCTGTCTGCAACTTTATCCGGTGTAGTTATGTCTTGTCCACAGGTTTGTCTTGTTGGTTTTGTTTGTGTGTAGTGTTGTCCCCCTGTCCTTGATATTATAATCTGATTTAAACTCCTTGTTTTTGTTGACGTATTTCTGCTCGTTGTCTAGCAGAAGTAAAATTGTAAAAGAATCTACTTGGATTATAATAAACGATACAACGCGATGCAGACCTTGGGATATTTAGATTCATTGAGACGAATTTATGGACCGGGATTCACTTAAGAGGGATTAATGATGAATAGTTGTTGTCCGCGTTCGCGGATTAGTCGAATATCAAAAGAATTAATTTCAAAAGAATTAATCTTTTTTTTCCAGCACGTATCAATGATTGTGTTTGCAATTGATACTGTTCAGAATCGTGACTGTCGAATACATGTAGTATGTATTAA